TTGTGGGAACGTGTGATTGGCAAAAGCAGAGGAATTGCTGGTGAGACGAGAGCTCTCAGGAACACTCGCTCTGTGGCCAGGCTTAAAAGTTCTACATAAAACAATATATATATATATATATATATATATATATATATATATATATATATATATATATATGAATGATTTTTTTGGCTGCTGCAGTAAATTTGTTTATCATTATTATTATTATTATTATTATTATTATTATTATTGTTGTTGTTGTTGTTGTTGTTGTTGTTGCTATTATAGCAACAACAATAAGAATTGGTTCTTTGGGTGTTCATGCTTCTATATAGCATCAATAGTTTTACTAAAGAACCCTAGAAGAACCATCTTTTTTAAGAGTGTACTTTAAGATAAACCTCTGGCTGACACTAGTGTCTAGATGTCCACACAGCCAATGAAAAGCATTGACCTGGGCACATGAGCCTAAGGTCACCGTGCCCAATGGCAAGTGCTGGCTAGAGGGGCACAAAGCCCCCCAGCACTGAGCTGTGGAGCAGTGGAGCTGTGTTCTCTGGAGTGATGGAGCTCCAATACCTTTGAGATGAGTTGAAGTGATCAGAACTGATCATCCAACATCAGTACCTGACCTTCACTAATCAGCGTTAGTGAGCCCATCACTAATCAACGTTTTTTATTACCATATATATTTAAGTTTCTATTAAAAAGATATGGTAATGAAAAACATTTGCTTATAAATAATAGACGTTATTTTCATAGGGTGTTGCATTAAAGTGTTAAACAGGGGGTCCTGCCCAATCTGGCAACCCTGAACACAGCAGTTGCTGGCTCTGTTTGAACCGCAGTGAGTGGGGTAGGTAAGTAGAGCCTACAGCATTGTAAAAATGAAAACTTTTAGCAAAGTCTTGTCAGTAAAGAAGGAATGTTGAAGGTTTTTCAGCCGCTCCAAACTGCTTTAAACAGGATCACACACAAACTCCGGCATTTGGGATTTAACAGCCAGTGCTGTTTGTATCATTTTCTTGCAGCTCTGGACAGCTAGCTAGTCTTCATACCCTCATTCATTCTCAGTAATGAATGCAACTGAGAACATGCCAGCTAACTAGCAAACTGGAGCTGTAGGAAACTTCTTTGGACTCCATCTGGAGTTAAAACTATTAAAACCCTCTCCTGGAACTGCAAGAGTCTCACAAGCTGTGCCAAAACTCCATCATCAGCGAGTGCAGTGTGGAGAGCTGGCAGCTGCATACTACTCGTTATACACAAATGTTTAGCTTGATAAACAACAAATTTCCCCCTGGATGTGCACAGGTTCATGTGAGTCACGTGTGTCAGGCTCCAGTCCTCGCAGGCCATAGACTTCAACTCACTGCTTTATTAAACACACCTGATTCAGCTCATCAGCTGATTGGCAAGGCCTTCATGAACTTCATGAGTTCAGAGCTTCAGATGAGGGTAAACGTTAATCTCCGCAGCACTTTGACCCAGTAGGTCCCCAGTTTGACATGCCTGATATAAGTAATGAATGTTTTAAAATATTTTAATTATCAAATTAATCAAATATTATTGAACATTTGTTGCAGGCCTAGTGATGTTATACTCTGCTACTCTGGCACACGAGTACCTGAACATTAGCGCATTAGCAAGGACACTTTTAAGGACATTGTTAAGTATGTGAATGAGCAGGTAGTCCTTAACACATTGATCACTAACTAGTCTAGCTGATGTTTTTCTGTGACAAATAACATGTTGGTACATCGTCCACTGAGCTCTGTTAGCTCATTAGCTCATCCGAAGAGGCAGCCTCCTCTACTCATCCAACGCAAAAACCTACGTTTTTCAATAATTAAAGATGTTTTCAGGTGTATTCCTCTGTGTGCTGCTATATTTGTGTCATGTTAAAAGATAAGCCTTCAGTTCTACATTATTATCAGCCAAAGTCTGTTATTTTTTTTCCCTGCGGTTAACCAGACACCCGTTCATCTGTTCAACTCTTACAGATACTCCAATACCAAAATGAGTCAAAATGCGCATTGTAAAGTCGTCATTTACAGTTTAAAACTTAAAGCAAAGCCAAAATAGATGTTTATTACCTCCTCACCCCACAGAGGAATAAAAAGGGATGTTTTGAGATGGTGTTTGCATTGTGGTTGACCGGGAACCATCTTGCCATTTGACGCTCAATAAAGCGAAGGCCTTTTCCTTCCTTCAACAAGAACTCAGCGGCTGAGGTCTTTTTCATTCCTTTTTATCCATTTTCATTTCTGTTGATATTCTTTGATTATTTTAATTATTTTTGAAGATAATAGATTACAGACAGTTATCAGGGCAATAGTATAGACAATATTATACTTATACGTACTTATAAATGTCCAGACCCTGGGCAAAAAGAGATAGCTCTTGGCAGCGACAGTCCACTGGTGGGCCCAAAGTGTTAATACATTCTTCTGTAATGTAAGAATAGCTCGACCAGTTTGATTTGAAGTCCCTGTTACTGAATAATAAACCTTAGTATGTAATAAGCCTGGCACTTTAAATGTTTAATGTTAAATGGTTATCAATAGTCCTTCTTTTTTCTTCTTAATTATCATAATATTTTTCATTATTGGGGAATAAAATATTTATTGCAACATGCAAATCATGCATAGAATTTACAATAATCTCTGTACTGAATAATAAATGTAGTTGTAGGCCTACTTCGCTTACATTTGAATGGCTGAGGCTTTAGCTTCCTGATGTTGGTCCCCCCTACTTGTCAGACCAAATTTGCACCCCTGATTTCCTCACCTGTTTGTTTCATTTCTCAGTCACGCTTTAATTCACTTGTTTGTTTTCTGTGTATAGTATGTAAAAGGCCTTTAGTCATCTCTATTCTTTAGTTTTATTCCAAGAGTAACTCAGACAGCCTACTCAGTGCAGCTCCAACGTAAGCCTGACTAACCGATTAATCACGGCTCTTTTTCAAGCCTTTCTCAAACAAAGATGTTGGAACTTCACTGCTCGCTTATGCCAGACAGTGAAGATCCCTAACCCTCACCTTTGGCAGCTCATCCAAGCACCATGCATAACAAAGAGCCATGTTTAATCCATACCTGTCAACCTAATCCTAACAGAAACAGGGAGGTGGGTGATGGAACACCCGAAGAATTTGGTAAAAAAAAAAAACTTATTTAAACATTTTCCTAGTTTTCTTTCTTTTCTGTTATTGTTGCCTGCAAAAATAGGGACGACAGCTTTCTGCACATTCAGCAGACACAAACATAGATCACTGAACTCAAGAACAATCTCAAAACCAGCAGAAATGCACTTGTCCCGAGTGCTGTGCTGTGTTGTGCGAGAGTGCAGCTTTTCCACTCTAGAGCATTTTAATGTTTCTTAAAGAGGAATCCTATCAATTTAAATTAAGATAAAATTAGAAGTAAGCAATCTAATTTAGAAGTTGGTGTGAAAGACTCCGTTCTTACCGAGTCAGAATTGTTCACAGTGGTGCTGATAGGAACCAGACATCAGAAGAGTTTAATGCATCTAAAAGCTCCCTCACAGAAAGCTAAGAGGACATAACAAAAGATGGGAGGATATAGTTACATCAATGCATTTACTTTTATCCAGAGTGACTTTTATTGCTTAATCATGTAATTATATTACAGAGGTAGCCAAATGTAGCATTAAAAGGCTTAACCAATGATTATCATTGGTATAGCATGGTGTGCTTTTCTGAGAGGGTAAATCGAACCCCCGGCTGCTGCATGGGGGGCCGCAGTACACCCCACCATACTTCTCTAGACCTCACCACACTATACTACACTACACTCCACCAACAGTTGATAGACACTAAGCAGAAGCAAACAGATGTGTTGTTCAGAAATGGACTATACATCATGCTACATGGTGCTAGTAGTTCATGCAATACATAAATTAGCCTGAATCACTGGCATCATTCTAAAACGATGGATGGCCTTTAATGCTATTATTTTCATTGGGGTAAAACGTATGTTGGAGGTGTACTAGAATCAGAATCACAATGGTTTATAGGGTTGAATGCGTAGTAATGCTGCTGAGTGACCTGTAATATGAAACGAAGGCTACTTTCAAGTTAGAAGCAGTAATTTGGCTATCAGAACTCATTGCTAATGTAAGCTAAAGTTAGTCAATATGGTAACCAGCTAACCAAATTATCAATTTAATCATGTTACTGTAGCGTTAGCCGAAGGATTCTTATTGGTATAGAGTGGTGTGCTTGCCCAAGTGAGAACCTGAACTCCAGCCTGCTGCATGGAGAGCAGCAGTATTATCACTACAGTACCCCAACTCAGAAGCAGGTAATTAGCTAGCATTGTTCGCTGCTATTGTTAGCTCAAATTATCCTAGTAGACAGCTAGCTTAATTATCATCTCTACAAAACACAGATCTACTTGAAGCTAAGTTGAAAGTTTATGAATATGATTTTCTTATATGGTAATCTATAGAGATGAGTTTGCTAAGAAATAAAATGCTAATCAGTGCAAATTTGCCAGGAGTTAATTAACGGTATCCAAGCAGCAGATGTTTTCACATGGTTAGCCCTACTCTAATCATCCACCACTGACAGCAGGTACAGTAGCAAAGTGAAGGATAATGAGCTACTGTTTTTGCCACAACTTGTAATGCGTCAGAGACCAACTGGATGGAAACACCATTCAGCACACTGCAAGTCAGAGTGAATGCACCCCATTTTGTATGGTATTACAAAGCAGGCTGGTCTCGCTGTGAAAGCTGGGTATTAATCACCACCATTTGCTGCTGATTAAAGAGCTGGAGAGACTTTGTCATTGCGTTACCACTCACTGCCAGGTTGAGCATGGTTTCCAGGGAAACAGAAAATCAGAAGCTCTCAATACTCAGAGCGCTCGCTGAAATCCAAGGACCTCCATCTACAGAAGAGTCTTCTGTAAAACAAACACAGCCCTTCGCAGTCTGCCTCTCTCAGCACCCACAGCTTGGAAGGGAGAGTAATATGCCTTGAAACCTTTTGGGGTGAAATACAAACAGCACTGCTAGTCGGTTTTGAGGCTGAGGTACGTATTCTTTGCTTTATGTCTGTATTTCTTCCACAGCACACTTATGTGCGCATGTACCATCGTGGCTGGGCTGTTGCTAGGTGTCTTCATGCATGAGCATAAATTAAATTGAATCAGACAGGTGGTATACAGAGCATTCCGTTGCACACGGCAGTGAAGCAGGGTAAGTAAATACAGGGCTACTGTATGTTTTCTCGAGAAATGGAGCGATAGAGTTCTTGAAAGTCATTGTGCATCTTCTTTTTTCCTCCTACATAGTGCTTGTAACATGAGACATTGTGTCTTTGCGTGGCTTTTTATCTAGAACAATACCGTGCATTTGTAACTTGTATTAACAGAAAGAAGCATTGAGTAATTGTCCTTTTTCCTCTCTATGATGATAATTTGCTGCATTAGCCTGGAAAAGCAACCAAAAACATTTGCCATTGCATGCTATTCTCTATATATCACTAATTTTTCCTGGCAATCAAGAGATTTATGTCAAGGCTAAAATAAAATAGGCAAAATTCTGCCTTTTTTGATAATTTTTTATGTCCACGAAACAACACGTATATGCTACTTCAGTGCTGTTCAGATCTGTCTGTATGGAGATGTTCTTAAAAGCTTGGCTTTATTTTTTATTTTCAGCAAATTCATTTACATACTATGAACCATGGGACAACACAAAAAGTCAGAGGATACCTCCACCTCCATTTGAATGGAAGGTCCTATTCTCACCCAGAGTGAAGTCTGGAAATTCGACTCTGGGATTTGTGCTGATTTCAACAATACCCACAAAAGCGATGCCTGTGTGACCCTCGTGAACAACATCATGGTGGATAACAAGCCGACTGAAGCCTGTAAACACACAGAAACAGGCACTCAGGAAGATGTCCCCACCATCTCCCAGACAGAGACAACCAAAGTGGATCAGCTTCACACAGCCGTCCCGCAGGGCCCAGCATCGGAGGAAGATTTAGGCACTCGTCCAGGACTGGTTCAGGACAGTGCTCACCAGCATGAATTGATCAGTGGTGGTGGACCCACACGTAGAGAGCGATTTACATCAGACCGACAACAGGCCAGCCAAGAAATCACCATACTGGTAACCAACCATGAGGCACCAGAGATGGAGATTGAAGAATCTGAAAAAATTGAAATTCCCACCTTTCTTGAGCCAAACACCTCAGCTGAGTGTGCAACACCAACTGAAGATGACAGTCTGGACGCTTCCAAGGTTGTGGCAGACCTAATCGAGCTCAGCCAGCTACAGGAGACTAGAATGATCAGCAATAGTTCAGCAGTGCAAAGTGTCAGCACAGTTGAGCGTGACTTACCACAGACCGATAGATACAGGGAAGTTCATATTGCACAAACTCAACAAACCAAGGTTTCTGATGACTCTGCTAATGCAGAGTTTGTTGTTTCTTCTGACCTGAAGGATCCCAAGATCAAAGTGGCATTTAAGCAAACCAAACCTTTGGAACACAGAGATGCAGAGGACCTCTGTAGAGTGAGACAGGACCTGACATCTGGGCAACAGCAGCATGTGCAGACCCAGGTTAGTCTGGAGGCCATGTACCAGTCTGTGGCCACCAGCCCTATGACCCCTCCTCAGGGTTCTGCTGCCTTCTTCTTCCCATATTCTCTCAGCAAGCTGGGTACCAGTGGAGAAAGTGAAGCGATTGCATCAGTCAAGATGAAGGATGCTGAACTCCAGGTGGGTGTACAGGTGGAGTATCGATCAGTTGCCACTGCTCCCATGACACCTGTAGTCACGAACGCACCTGAGCTACAGATAGAGACTCGGTCAGTTGCAACTGCTCCCATGACACCTGTAGTTACAAATGCACCTGACTTACAGGTTGAGACTCGGTCAGTTGCTACAGCTCCCATGACACCTGTAGTTACAAATGCACCTGACTTACAGGTTGAGACTCGGTCAGTTGCTACAGCTCCTATGACCCCCATTGCAACAACTGCCCCTGAACTGCAAGTGGAGACTCGTTCGGTCGCTACGGCTCCAATGACTCCCATTGCAACAGCTGCACCTGAACTACATGTGGAGACTCGCTCAGTTGCCACTGCTCCTATGACCCCTATTGCAACAGCTGCACCTGAATTGCAGGTAGAGACTCGTTCGGTTGCCACTGCTCCAATGACCCCCATTGCAACAGCCGCACCTGCATTGCATGTAGAGACTCGTTCAATTGCCACAGCTCCTATGACCCCCATTGTAACAGCCGCACCTGAATTGCATGTGGAGACTCGTTCGATTGCCACAGCTCCTATGACCCCCATTGCAACAGCTGCACCTGAATTGCTGGTAGAGACTCGTTCAATTGCCACCGCTCCCATGACCCCCATTGCAACAACTGCACCTGCGTTGCATGTAGAGACTCGTTCAATTGCCACAGCTCCTATGACCCCCATTGCAACAGCCGCACCTGCGTTGCATGTGGAGACTCATTCAGTTGCCACAGCTCCTATGACCCCCATTGCAACAACTGCACCTGCATTACATGTGGAGACTCGTTCAATTGCCACCGCTCCTATGACCCCCTTTGCAACAGCTGCACCTGCGTTGCATGTGGAGACTCATTCAGTTGCCACAGCTCCTATGACCCCCATTGCAACAGCCGCACCTGAGCTGCATACAGATACTCATTCAATAGCCACGGCTCCAATGACCCCTATTGCAACAAATGCCCCTCGACTTCATGTGGAGACTCACTCAATTGCTACAGCTCCCATGACTCCCCTAGAGACAAAACCACCTCAACTGCAGGTAGAGACCCGGTCGGTTGCTACAGCTCCCATGACTCCCATTGCTACAAGACCACCTCAACTACATGTGGAGACTCGCTCTATTGCCACGGCTCCCATGACCCCCATTGCGACAAGACCACCTCAACTACATGTTGAGACCCGCTCTATTGCCACGGCTCCCATGACTCCCATTGCGACAAGACCACCTCAACTGCATGTGGAGACTCGCTCAATTGCTACGGGTCCCATGACTCCCATTGCAAGAAAAGCACCTGAGCTACAAGTACACTCAATTGCCACAAGTCCTATGAGCCCTATAGTCCTGAGCTCTCCTGAGCTGATTCCAGTGCCTGAGCCAAGAGCAGCACCAGGGCCAGAGGATCCGCCGGAGCCTGTACAAGATGTGAGTTGGGACGAAAAAGGCATGACATGGGAAGTCTATGGCGCTGTGGTGGAGGTAGCTGTTCTGGGTACCGCCATCCAGAAACACCTGGAGAAACAGGTGAAGAAGCAACAGAAGCCACCTGTGGGTACACCTGCTCTGGCCCCATCTTCAAGCATCACAGACACAGCCTCTCCTCTCCCTTCCAGCCCACCGGCGACATCAGCATCTAGTCGGTGCAGTTCAGCAAAAGGAAGCAGGAAAAAGGAGGAAGGGAGAGGGACGAGGGGCAGACGGAGACAAAACCCTTTACGATTGTTCTTCAGGAATGTGCGGAGGCCAAGCTGCTGCTCTCGAGCGCACTCTGAGGAGAGACACTGAAGAAACGCTTTGAAATGTTGGGCCTGATGGCAGTCCAGCTATACTTTAGGTCCTGACTGTTGACAGGATTGGCCTGATAACAAAGCACATGTGTCTTCGCTAGTTGTAGCCATAGATCCAGTCACAGGATCTGTCCAATGATGGGTTCCCTTTAATGGCAAGCTCTCCCAGTGGCCGGGTATGTTTTTAACCTCTTTTGGGTAACTGTGTTTCTTTTATCAAGCTTTTCTGTGCTGGAAATCAAATGAGCACAATACTGCGCTCCCAAGGAACTAAACAAGCTATGGGTTGAACAAAAAGTACACTACGTGCCCTACGATTCTTTGGCGAGACATCCACAAGAGAACATTTTGCCATTGGCTAAATCAGTGAGACATTACTGAGTATGTAGTGTTCTCCTCCAAGCGTAGTTCGGCTCTGATAGCCCCCACCTTCTCATGCGAGTACAGTAAAAGTGGAAGTTGATTACGTTTCCTCAGTTAGATGTATTTGAGTAAAATTTTGACAGATTTGTTCTTGTCTGAGTAGTTTTAAATGACAATACTTTAACTTTTACCCAAATATATTTTTACTTGGTTTCACTTTAGCCATTCACATTGAGTTTCTAATTCCCTCTTTGGGTCATTCTTGTCCATTGGTTCAGTTCCTGAAATACTTTTCTGTTGCTATCTCTCATTTCTAAACTCAGTTGAGATCTGCTTCTATGCTTATTAAAGCAGGATGTGCTAGTTCCATAGCAGTCCTGTAGAGACCCCTGCACTTGGGGCCTGATGTTTTTTTCCTCAAGCTATTTTGTGCTAAGATTTCACTGAGTAACAATACTTTTGCTTCATGTTAGGCGACCTGCAGGGATGAATACTGGCTAATGACTGACACTGGAATAACATTAGCAGGAAAAAATGAGCCCAAAGTCCATAGATAGATGTATAATTTGATATATTAGCTTAGTTTTACATTAATAGTCATAGCATAGACAATCCTAGTTATTTCTCTTGTTTACTGACCTTTATTTTCGGTGTATTCAAGCCTCTGTCAGAGCTATAGTTTTTGAATGTTTTAGTGGTCACAGATGGTAATTTTCACAAGATTAAGTGTCCTTTATATGTGTGTATTTAAAATTTTTCTTCTTTACTTCTTTAAGAAATATCTTATCCAAACTTTGAAACGATGACCTGTATTATGAAGTGAACATAAAAAATATGTATGTTGTAAGTTATAATTTTTGAAAATGTTTGAAATAGTAGATAGAATGGTCAAGAGGGACTTGATCTGGACCTATTCTAAAGCTATTAGAGCAATGTTTGGCATACTTTGTCAGTTGTATTAAAAAGTACTCTTTTCTATCAGCTTTTGTACAATCACACCACATTTCAGTGGATTCATCCTGTATTTGTGGTCACAGTCAGCCGCAGGCCTTATGTTAAGTATGTTCCGTGACAGTTGTGGCTATTGTAAAAGTGAAATAGCAATGTTTTTAAATTTAGTAATGTCATGGCAGTAGAAATACTGTACTGTTATTTACACATGGTCAAAATGCAGCCTTGTACCTGACCATTTTTATGACTACTTTTATAAAATGGTTGATAGTATAGGCATGAAGTGGACACTACAAGGTGTGTAGACACATCGGTCAGCATTCTGCCTTTTTAAGGACTGCTTAATTTAATTACAACTGATTACGTTCTTTCTTTTTTTGATGATGATATTCTTTCGTTGATTTATGATGCCCGTTTGTCCATAAACATTCTACATGAAGCTCCACTACTGGTGTAATACTGTCATTCACACGCGGTCATTCTGAAAATGGGTCATTTTTTCAAGTGCTTTAATGAACAGGAGTCAAAAGTAAACATCACACATTGCCATTAATGGATATAAGAGGTTATTTAAAACCAGTCAGCATTAAATATGTTTGATTCCATTTGCCTATTTCACAGTGAAAAAGAAACCCTACAAGAGCATATAAATAAAATTTGTATAGCAAGTTTAAAAAATATATACTTTAAAATTTTTTATTTGCCTTTTAAATTTGAAATTGCTTTAAAGGCTTTTCAATGCATAGTACTTTATCGGATTGGTTGATAAGTAACTACAAGTGCACACAAACTCTGACAATAGTGAATCACTATTCTTATCATAAAAACGATTAAACTGTGCCAACTCAAGGGATCAGATATTGGGAAAACTGTCAGATATGGTTTCTGTGGTTAACCCCTTTAAATCCCAGCCTTATTATCTTCTAAGCCATGTTGTATTCAGTAACTACAATAACTGCAATGCAAACTGGCTCAGTTATTCTTAAGGTACAGAAGTGTGTAATGAACATTTGGACTGTCAGCAGGTCCTGTCCATTCAATGGATTAAAATAGTTAGATTTTATGGGAATTTGCTGCTCATTTGCTGTTTTATTTTTATACCTCTTGCATGTTTTCCTGCCATGAAAGATATTGTTTCATTACTTTCATTTGTGAGTTTCCAAGGGGACGTCAGGTTATGCCCAGCAGTTGATGCCTACATCGACGGGAAAACAGCAAGACTGTTTTTTGTCAAGAAGCAACATTGTCACAAGCCATTACAGCATGCGTCAGACAACGAAAGCACTGCCTCTAGGAGGAGGAACAGGAAAGATAAGGTCTCTGAGGGGAACACGCTGATATTTAACAGGACAGGTTCATCAATAAATAAACAGTTAAATTAATACTGAACAACCACTTCCTGCTAAATAATGACTTAGAGGACAGACTAAACAGAGACTAAGTAGACAAAACAGACTGCAGACTGTAAACACACTTCCTTCACTCACTTTCACCTAGAATGTTCCCCCCATTTACACTGTTCTAGAATGTCCACCCCATTCACTGTTCTACAGTGTTCGCTTTTAATCACATTGTTTTGTTCTACAGTGTTCGCTTTTAATCACATTGTTCTAGAATGTCCACCCCATTCACTGTTCTATAATGTTAGCTCTCATTCACATCATTCTAGAATGTTTACCCCATTCACTGTTCTATAATGTTAGCTCTCATTCACATCATTCTAGAATGTTTACCCCATTCACTGTTCTATAATGTCAGCTCTCATTCACATCATTCTAGAATGTTTACCCCATTCATTGTTCTATAATGTTTTCTTTCATTCACATTGTTCTAGAGTGTCCACCTCATTCACTGTTCTACAGTGTTCGCTCTCTTTCACGTTATTCTAGAATGTCCACCCCATTTATTGTTCTATAATGTTAGCTCTCATTCACATCATTCTAGAATGTCCTCTCCATTCACTGGTCTACAATGTTTTCTCTCATTCACATTGTTCTAGAATGCCTACTCCATGTACTGTTCTAGGAATGTTCTCTCTAATTCACATTTTTCTAGAATGTCCACCCCATTCACTGTTCTACAGTGTTTCCTCTCATTTACCCTGTTCAAGAATGTCTACCCCATTCACTGTTCTACAGTGTTCTCTCTCATTCACCCCATTTACTGTTCTAGATTGTTCTTTCCCATTCACTTTGTTCTAGAGTATTCTTCCCATTTACACTGGTTTATTACATTCCACCATTCATGCCGTTCTAAAATGTTTTCTCTTCACACCATTTTAGACCCTCATTCACTCTGTTCTAGGATGTTGATCCCATTTACTGTACTAGAATGTTCTCTCTCATTCACACTGTTCAAAAATGTTCCCCATTCATGCTGTTCAAGAATGTTATGCTGTTCTAAATGTTCTCTCATCACACCATTCTAGACATTCTGGAATGTTCCCCAGTCACACTGTTTAAGAATGTTCTCCTTTTTCACACTGCTCTGGAATGTTTTTTCCCCGATTCCCAATTACTGTTCTAGAATGTTCTCCCTATTCACATAGTTCTAGAATGTTACCCTCAATTAACAGTTATAGCTTGTTGTCTCTTGTGCACACTATCCTAAATTGTTCTCCCCATTTACACTCTTCTAGACTGTTCACTCCTATTCACATTGTTCTGCTCTATACTACTCCATTTGCTCTAAAATGTTCTCCTCCCATTCACACTGTTCTAGAATGTTCTCCCCTATTCATTGTGTTTCATTTGGCTTGTCAGATCTTTTTCTGAACATTCTAGAGACAGCTACGCTCTCCGAGTATTGGTGATTGTTTCAGAATGTTTGGTTAAAGTGTTCTGGCCTTAATGCTGCAAAAGCAGAATTAACTTTTGACCAAAAAAGTGCATTAAAACACAAACCCTGATGATGTATCAGTGGGACAGATGAGTAGGCGTTAAATGGATGTTTGTGGGAGGGAGCTGTGTGGTGAATGGGATTTTTTTATGCAATTTGGAAAAGGCCAAAGCCGTACATTACCACACTAGCCAAACACTACACTTCAGAGACTGTAACCATTCCTGCACTTAACAAATCAGTCAAGGATATTATTATACACTGGAAAACATAGACCCACACTTACACCGTAAATGTGAGAACAAATAAACGATGGACACCAACATTACCAGTTACATCCAAAATGTAGTTTACTGTACAGTTTACTGACAGTTTTCATGGTTGCCTAGGACTTACACACAGTACTGTACACCTGCACAAATGTGTATACTGATTATAGGCGGTACATTTTTATTTCTATATTATGTAGAAAAGGCACTCACAGTTTTGTACTGTGAGAACACGGTAGGTTGCAATTTTTGAACGAGCGCCACTTGTCATCAGACCCTGGGCTGCACAGAGTACTGCAGTACACAATGGAGTGCTTTCACTGCTCATCAGCTACTTATCAAACCCTCCATGAGGGTGAACCAGGCCAGTTAGAGAGAGGGAAATGCAGAACTGTGCCGCAGCAGCAGTACTATAAATTTTACATAATTTTTCTTATTATAATACACACGCACTGACCTGAGAATGAACCACCACCCAAATAATACCTGCTCAGATATATAATATATATATATATATATATATATATATATATATATATATATTGCTGTTGTCAGAAGAAAACCTTGTATCTCCATTTTCTATATATGTTGTGTGTAAATTTCATGATAAATGGACCAACAGAAATTACCCAGAATTACTTGGAAAAAAGTCTGGTTCCATTGACTTACATTAAAAGTAAAGTAGGTTTTTCCTTTCCTGTAAAGGTATCATTTTGGATATATATATATATATATATATATATATATATATATATATATATATATATATATCTTTGTATCTCACACTGATGTGAAAATATTTTCATTATTATGAGATCTTAAGTCAAAATTATGACAAAGTCTTAATTATGAGAAACATACTATGACATACTATATGGCCTTTTTTTCTCAAGTGATGGAAATGGGCTTCCATATGCGGGGGTCCTGACCATTGATAAATAGGGTTAAAGAGGGGCTAACGAATCATGCAGAGAAACAGATGGATTACAACCTGTTATTACTGAACTACAAAGTACAGTGAAAAAGTATTTGCCCTTTTCCTGATTTTCACTATTATTTACTACAATTTAAATATTTTTCACAGTGAATGCTCTTAGATCTTTAGACAAAATGTTGTATTAGAAAATAA